TACTCCATAAAAAATTATATATATGAAATACATTTTATATTTTGCATACTATATAAATTAGAATTTTAACTTTAAGGATTTTAAACTTAAATTTTAATATGTGAATATATACAACTTATTCTATTTAATGTGAGCTTATATAAATATTATTTCCATACAATATATAATATAAATTATGTCAAATGTAGTATAGTATATTATATACAGTTTAGCTTTGTTTTTTTTTAACTGATTTTAAATTCAACTTATTGGGGAATTACAAATTTTAATATGTACTGTTTAGTAAACTACGTTATACCCCAACCTTATATTCTCAGAACAAAATGTTATACTTCATATCTGATAAAATTGAACTACATAGTAGGATTTTACATTTATTTAGATATTAGGAAGCCAATTCCTTATATAGAAGAAATTCTCATATTTCTAACATCAGAAGAAATGGTTAAGTTACAGGATGACAGTTATCTTCCAGTGTCCGGGTGGGAATATCATTTCCATGATTAGAATTACAAGTTGATCCTGTTTGGTTTTTAACGTAGCTCCCAAGAGGCTCAGAGCCAGGTCCAAAGCCCCAAGTACAGCACTAATGGGGTTCCTTACAGTTGTACTTTTTCTTCACTCTTGGTTTTTGTAATTTGTATCTTAGCGTTCTGCACGTTGATTTCAAGCAGTCTCGACTTCTTGGTTGTAAGAGCCATTTCTAAGAAGTGAAATGTAAATCTGAAGGATATGGTTAAATATAATTTACAGGAGATGCTGGACTGTCATCCCAGCACTAGGGAGACTGAGGCAGGCAAGTCACCACAAGTTCCAGGCCAGCCTGGGCTACACAGTGAATTTGAGGTCAGCCTGAACTACATACCAAGACCCTGTCTCAACCACTCCCAAATTGGTTTTTGAAAAAAAAAAAATTACAAGAGATAACTGACATTCATTGTCTATTGGATTGAATAAAGAAATAGTATACACTATTTTAAAAGCAAACGTTTTCTTTTAGAGTATATTGCACATACATGATATATGAAAGAAGTACAGATGTTGGTATTTTAGTACCTGAATGGCTTTTAAACCTATGTTTTAATTATGTGTTACTTGTAAACATTTCTGTAAATTTCAACCACAAAGGGATAAAAACACAGTAAAACCCCAGTAAGAAGTGACGTGAAATGTTCAAAGTTACTAGTTTATTGTAATAATTGATAGTAACACTGTAAAACCTGTAGTGAAATTACACAAAAAGGATGACTAATTCAACATTTTAAAACCACTGTCCTAATAAACCTTAGCTTTTTCACATTTGAGTCTGCAGGGAAATATTGAGCCTAGATAGATATTTACACTTCTTATTTGTAAAAATCTTTCCTTTGGTCCAGGGGTTTAGCTCAGTGGTTTCGCCGCCTGCTGCGCAAGCACAAGGACCTGAGTTCGATCCCTGGTACCAAAAAAAATCTTTCCTTTGCTGGTGGCTAAAATAAAATGGCACAGAGAAATATTAGAAAGTCCTCAGATGAGTTTCAAAACTACTACATTAAGAGACAGAATTAGGGCTGGGGATTTTGCTCAGTAGTTTTGCCGCCTGCTGCGCGCAAACACAAGGACCCGAGTTCAAGCCCCGGTACCAAAAAAAACAAAAACAAAAAGAGCCAGAATTAATAAATATCTGTTAAAACCAGCTACCTAGAGATACTGATACTTTGAATAATGAGCATTTATGTAAGTTGCAATGAAGTCTGATAATTCATCTGAAAAACTTTGATCTTTTTTTGAAAAAAATTATCTCTTTTGTATATATTTTGTGCATTTACTAATAAGCTAACTTTAGGATTACATTGAAAAATCAAGATTTCTGTAGATACTGAGTGGTAGAATTTAGGACTTCGAAAAAACTCAGAGATCTTGTTATTCCGTGAGGTATATCTTCATTTGAGGAAAGCACTGACAGTGTACTGTATTCTGATATATAAAATATGTATTGAGTAACACTTGCATAGTGGGTAACAGGATGATCAGTTGGACTTGGGAGTAACTGAGCAGTCAAATGTGTTGGTAGCTTTTTGCCCACTTCCAGGGCCTTTCTGGTACCTCTGCACGAGGCGATATTTTTCTTGGCGCATTTGTCCATCATTTGATAGAAGATCGGAAAGGGATGGTTTAATTACACATAAACTCACAAGTCCTTTTGCAGCTCAGCTTTGTCTTACTCATTTGGCAGGTTACAGAATTTGACTTAAGCATAAGTTTCCTTAAAAACTAAGATCATTCATTATATATACTTCATTTGAGTGAGTTAAAAATGAAATGGCCCATGTAACACACTTAGATGTAGCAGATTTTTAGTAACTATCCTCTGAGGTTATTAATATCACCTATTTGATCAGCTGTGCTGAATTAAATTTATATACATGATAAAAAGCTCTTAGATATGTTAAGTATCAGACAACAGAATGAGTGTAAAGTTATTAATTTGCATCAGAATATGAAAAAATTAAGAACTTTTAACAGATACAATTGAGCAGTGTTATGTGATCATTAAAATCTACTTTAGGTTATTAAAATAATTGAATAGTTGTATACTAAATATTGTTGGTTTGCAGTATATTGACTAGTCTGTCCTTCCTTCAAAAGTGTCCCAGTGCTAAGGATTCAGCCTACGTTTTAGGAGGGTTATGTGAAAGGATTTGAAGGAGGTAAATTCATTGGCTAGGATACAAAAAGTCACATGAAAGTTTGGTATCTCTTTTCACTTACCTCAGAGTCTATGAGATTGAAGAGAAAGCAATCTTATTTATTTTTTAATAGCATATATTTGTAGTACATAATGTTTCCATTCCTCGTGGGGGGTTGGCACAGGTACATAACACATCCGATGTCTTATTCATCCCCTTTCTCTTCTGCCCTCTCCTTCCACCTCTTGACCTTCTTCTCCTTTGAGAAAGATCTGTCTTACTTCCTATTTTCTATCTTTTATTTTGATCTTTATTTATATTTTGAGTTTCTCATCTAAAAGAAACCATGTGATATTTAAGCTTATGTGTTTTATTTATTTCACTTAACATTATGGTCTCAAGGTACATCCATTTTCTTACAAATCACTCAAGTTTATCTTTATGGCAGAGTAGTCATCCATTGTATGTACTCCTGTAATTTTTTTTTGTACCAGGGATCAAACTCAAGGCTAGCGCTTGCCAGGCAGGTGCTGTGCCGCTGAGCTACATCCCCAGCCCAGAGTCCATTGTATGTAAATAACCATATTTTCTTTATTGATTAGGCTGCTTCCAAGATTTAGCTATGGTGAGTTGTGCTGCTGTAAATATGAGTATGCATGTGTCACTGTAATATGATGTCTTTAACTTTTTTCAGGAAGAATCCTAGAAGGGGAATAGCTGGATTAAATAGAATTCCTAGTATTACTTTTTTAAGGAATCTCCATTCTGATTTCCATAGTGGTTGACTAGTTTGCATTCTCACCAACAATCTGGAAGGACAATGTTATTTATTATCTCCAAAAGCTAAATTAGAGCTACTAGATAGATGTGTTATAAAGCTCAGAACCTTGCTGCTATGAAAACTCTTCTACAAAACAGTGTGCCTTTGTTCATAAGGTACAAAATGCCTCTGTGGAGATATTTAAAACAGGTTTAAAGGCAGCTTCTAAAGGCATCTACCTTCCTCCAAGGAGCAGAATATTGAACTTTTCATGGAGAGAATTTCTATAATATTTAAAGGGCCTGTGAACTTAGATATAAAAATTCTAAGTGCAGTCTAAAATTTTTTAAATTAAGAAATATAAAAACGTAAATCAATACCCGGAATACCTGTGACTTTATCCTCAGATGTTTTCAGATCACTTTAGAGTTGTAGAAACCACAAAATGTCATTTATAGTCATTAGGTAAGAGTTATGTTCAACATTAAGTTTTCAGTCACTACTAGATCTTATTTAATGTATTAATAGAGAATACATATCACTGTATTTCCAATTTCCTTCTTAAAATGTTTTGATCATTTCAATATATGTAATTGCTTTGCTTTATAAGTCTATATTTTATTTTAACCATTCAACAGCCCTCTGAGAAGAAGTCCATAGATTACACTGTGAGAACGGCTCATGGCATTGGGAAAGCTAAATTGGGATCTCAGTGATCCTTTGTAAAGTAGTGTTGATAAACTTGCAGTAGTTTCAAATTTCAGACTTTTCCAGTGAGTGGGTTTTGCTGAATACCTAGGTACCACAGACAAGGTCTTCACCTTTTCTTTGATCCCAGCACTTCATGGTTATTAGATTCTCTTATCAGGGTTAGTGGTTTAATTCATGAGTGCCTGAGCATCTGTGTGTTGGGGTATGAGTGTAGGTATATGTGTGATGTTGTTCTTAATGCTTCCTGGATAATTATACATGTGTGTGTGTACCTGTACGTATATAGGCATATACACTGTATATTTTATGTGCATATATATATGTATATCACTGAAAATGTAAGTTGTATTTCAGGTTTTTATTGAGTGTATTAGTCAACTTTCCCATTGCTGAACACAACACCTGACACCCACTACTTCGAGAGGTTTAATTTGGCTCAGGTTTTAAGGAAATTCAGTCCATGGTAAGCTGGTTCTGAGACAGAAACATTGGAAGGGTGTGGCAGAGCAGAGCAGGCTAGTTCACAGAGCCTGGGAATTAGAGCCGGGGAAGAGTGTTAGAGAGGAAGAGGTTGGTGAGGGCACAGACTAGACCCCAGGGTCACGCCTCCAAGCCCCAGGCAGACACACCAAAGAGTGTGCTCCACCAAGCCCTGGGGTGGATCCCAAAGCAAACCAAGGTGGTGCTCCACCTTAACAGCCACATGAAGCAGGAAAACATTTTTACATAACACTGTTTTGGGTGACTTCTAGAATGTGGACCGAAAGAAGAGAATTTATTGGGAAAAGCTATTCATTTGCCTTTAATACTCTATTTATTTTACATAGTTTTCTAAAGTACCCTTTTCTTTTTCTTTTAAGAATCTTGATGCAGTCCATCCAAAAGAAGCAACTCCTTCATCTACACTTACTGGTATTCGGCTAGCACAGGTTGTATCTTCAACTTCTGAAGAAGAGGAAGCATTTACTGAGAAATTTCTTAAAATTAATTGCAAATACATTACTGTTGGCAAGGTAATGGATGACACTTTAGAGAAAACTTTTAATCATGCCTTATCCACTATTAATGTCAGACACTTTGACGTTTATGTTTTAAATCATCAATGCCTGAATATTTAAACAAGGTATTGGTGGTAACTGTTAGTTTGAGTTAGTATGGACCTTGCTCATAACAGAAGAGTCTGGTGGGCTGTTGCAAGTGTTAAAGCCCATGGGATGTCAACAAATTCACTATCATAAGGCACAGTTAATTTATTCCCACTGGGATATTTCAAAAAGCATGTAAAAAAGACTACTTCTAGGTAATGTTTGGAATGCTAACTTTTCCAAACAGTATAATATACCAAAAAAAGATAACTATTCATTAAGCACCTATTAGATGCCAGAAACTATTTGAGGTATATTAATTGATTTATCAACTAAAAATAATATTATAGAATAGCTAGCCTTATTTCTTCTTACAGGAAAAAAAAGGTCCAAAAAGGTGACTGGTCAAAACATTTTTAGGATGGTCAGAATTCAGACTTGGTTTGAATCTGTGTATCTACAATACCTTGCTGCTTTTCTAAGCAAAACCTTCAAGTTTGCAGAGGAAATGCTGTAAACGCTGAATTGAAAAATAAATTCCAGGTTTTACTTAGAATGTGACCATAACATGACAAGGACTTTAGAAGTCATACATGACAATCATGACTTTATACTTGTAATTCATAAATTGTTTTTTAGTTTGAAAGTTGCTGCTATAGACACAGAATCAGGTTGCCAAGGCTTTCTTTCTCCTTTAAAATTTAATGATGCTGTTCCACTGTTTTCAGGCTTGCAGTTTTGCAGTCTTCTGTTATTTGATGTTCTGTAAGAAAAAGTGTCTTCGATTACACAAAATATTCTCTTTATCGCTAATTTTGAACAATTTGATTATGATGTGCATTGATGTATCTTTCATATTTGTCCATTCGGCTTCTTGGATCTGTGAATTTGTAGCTTAATTCAAATTTGGAAAATTTTTAGCCATATATCTTCAAATGTTTTTTCTTTCTCATCCTTTTTTGTTCATTCTTCGAGAACTTCATTTATATCATTTTTGGCTGTCTAACATCTTACACAGCTCTCTGATACTCTTCATTTTTTCTTTTTTCATTCGGTATAATTGCAATGGTTGTATTTTAAGGGCAGTGTTTCCCATTGTGTCTAATATGTTAATTATATTCAGGATACTTTCATCTCCATCATTGTTATTTTCAACTAAGTCCAAACGGGGCCTCATACTTTCCATATCCCCACTTATCATGCACAATCTCTCTTCTGTACTCTAGAATAGAGTTATAGTAATTGTATTAATGCTTTTCTCCCAAGTTTCTTTCACTTTCTCACTTCTGTGTCTTTTTGTGTTTGTTGATTTTTTTTCTCTTTGGTGAGGGTCATTTTTTTCTGTTTCTTCCTCTGAATTATAGTTTCTCCTCAGATGCCAGACACAGTAAATTCTGTCTTCTTGGGTGCTGACTGTTTTTGTATTCCTGTACTTATTCCTGTACTTTTTTCCTGGGACATGGTTAAGTTTTTTAGAAACGGTTTGATCTGATCCTGGCTTGTTTTTAAGTTTTGCTCGGCAAGCCCGCAGCTGCCCTTGTCTTAACTGATAGTCTCACTTGTTGAGACACTGCCCTAGAGATTCTGTGGCCCTGTAAGTACAGGCTGTCCCTCTGGTTCACAAGGACTCAAGCTGCGTGCGACTGCAGACCCCGGGAGTCGCATCCTCTGCTTCTGTGGAGTGCTGCTTGCTCGTCTCTGGATGTGCTGTGTGTGCAGCTGGTGGTCAGCACTCCTCTCCAGCTCAGAGGGACCTCTCTGCACCCCAGAATCTTCTTGCAGAGCAGCATTTCCTGTCCCCATCTCCTTACATGCCACCTGAAAACCCTGTCCACCCAAGGTGTCCAGGGATGAGGGTGGAGCTTAGTCTCCGTGGTTCTCTGTCTTGTTCAGATATCACTGGCCAGCAGCCTTTCAGTATCGAAAAAGTTATTTCATGCATACTGTGTGTGTTTTTAGTAGTTTTTGGCAGAATTAGTTTTGGCTCGAAGCAGAAGTTTATTTGCAGGTATCTAAATGTGCTTCAAGGATCAAAGTGCACACAGGGCCATTGGGCCTGTACCCTGATGTTCTTGGAATATAATCTCTTGTTGGAGCCTGGCTGTGTTTATGCTAACGCATAGAAGAAAATAGTCAGAAGTTTTACTTTCTCCTGCAAGTTTTCCCCTTTCTTCTTCCCACAGATCAATCATACTAAAAGTTCTTTACATAAAATATTGAAACTTGTCAACAATGATTATAATTATTAAATTATGGTGGAGTTAAAGCTAAAAAAATAAAATCAATACAAGCTTCTCTCTCTGCCTGAATAGAATCCCAAATTGTAGTCTTTTTATCTTTTGGTATTTACAGAAATATTATAAGTGGTAACTTTTCTTTTGCGGATAGACTTTATTTTCTGACAGAAGTAATTTCTCCTTAAAAGATTAGTCAGACAGTTGCACAAAGCAGGTAGAAGTTGTTAATTCTAAAAAGTAATTTGTGCTTAAAGTTTCTGAAAATCATGTGGTTTAAGATGATACTTATTAGGAGATTCTTGCTCACCTTAGTCTTAATTTAATGCCGATAATACGTCAGGAGTTAAGAAACAGTGTTATGTTTCATTTTGAAATTTTTTGTTAAATGTTTCCATGAGATTATCATCATTCTAGAATTTAATATATATGATAGCTGACCTAGCAGCATAAGAAAATTAGTAAAATAGTTTCAATAGTTTTAAAATTTTGAACTTTGAAAAGTAAGCATCACTTTCTTTTTTCACCATAGGGCACAGTCAGTGGTGTGCTGCTGGTTACACCAAACAACATCATGTTCGATCCACATAAGGCCGACCCTTTGGTCCAGGAGAACGGCTGTGAGGAATATGGCATCATGTGTCCCATGGAGGAGGTGATGTCGGCCGCAATGTGCAGAGACATTCTGGACAGCGAAGTAAAGGAGTCTTTCCCCGGGTAAGAGCGGTGCTTACCTCCGCTGCAGTCGGTTGTGCCCAGAGTTGGCCCTGCTCTGATACTTGCAGCTGTTTTTAGTAATTTTATTACACCCATTTTTCATTTTATCAGTAATGAAACAAGAAATATATGCAGTAATAAAAGATTATTCTTAATGCACCTAGAATAGTTAGGAATTATTTAATTATTTTAAATTTATACATGTTTTTGTTCAGAGAACCAGATAGTTGAAGAGTAACGTATCAGTGTTTACCACATCAGTGTTTTTAGATATAGCATTAAGAATTCTAACCTGTTGACTTCTAATCATTGTGAAAGATAGTTTTCAGATTTTTCTCAGAAGTACTTGAAGGGTGAGGTATAGATCTGACAGTGTATAGCCGGAATAACTGCATTTTTTCAATTTATTCACTTATATGTTTTCGCTCTTCTCCCCTGAAAAAGTATAAAACACAAAGTAGAGAACCCACAAGTTGCACTTAAATGTTAACTTCAGAATACACTGATCGGGGGTTTGTGTGATAAGGCAGCACAGCTGAGATAACGGGTCGGGCACAGCCTTTGGAAGTGATGTGCTTGACCAGTCTAATGACCCGAGAGAAGGAAAGCAATGAGAAATAAAAGAAAGAGGATAAAATATAGCTACACCAAAGGAGGGCAGAAAGGAAGAGAATTGATGTGTAATAGAGAAGAACTTCCCTGTTCTCCACATATGATTCTGTTGACTTAAAGAGATGGTGATGGCACTGTAAAATTAACCCTTCAGAAGAAAAACTTACAAAGGATAAAGGAGAAAATTATTTTTTAATCTGAGGAAGATTACATGAGTTGTTAGGACACCTGTGATAGAATAAAATCCCTTATTGGAAAAGTGTCTATCATATCTTCTTCACAACAGATACTATTTTGCTTAATAAGTTAATCTTTATAGTCCTAGATAATTCCTAGGTGTCATTATCCTCTACTATTGTTATAGTTATAAATTTTCCAAAGCCAATTTCAGCAAATAAAGATTATTGAGGGCTACTGAAGGGATGAGACTCAGGTGAAAGAAAGAATGAAAGGTTAGATCGAAAGATCAAGAGGGCAGAAATCACATGTGGATGTGTAATGTCCGCCAGTGCCCTTTCCCATTTGTGTTAGTGTACCGGGGGCTCTTACTCTGAACAGTCTGTGACCGTTCTTTACGATGTTGTAGCTCTGTCAGCTGGAAGGACTATGTATTTCATCCAAACAGTAAACATGCCTTCAAAAATGAGTTTTTTAACTTTCGCCTTATAAGATAATTAAAAACAGTATTTTGCACCAAATCTGATAAACAAAGCAAATAGTTTTTCTGAGCAATGTTTTGTATGAAAAATGAGGTAAAAAAATTTGATTGGTTTTTTCATACTGCTTGGAAAATTGATTTCAAAGATATTTTCTGGGACTGTATTGAACAGTAGAAACAGTGTTGGCATAAATGTTTAGCCTTTCAACATATTAACTTTGAAAAGTACAGCACTTATATAAATATTTATCCTGTTAGGTTTGTTCTCCTCCTCCTCCTACCTAATTCTGTTCAGACAAAATTTCCCGGAACGTGTTGCTTGTTGAAACCTCCTAAGGATGCAGTTTGAGTGAATCACCAGTAGATGATGCCATAACATATTAAATAACATGAATTAGACACTTTTATGAAAAGATGAATTCAGTACAAAGGCAGCATAGATAGGAATTGGACTTCAAATAACATTTTAAAATAAATGGTACTCATCCTAGTTATAAAAATTATGCATACTTGTTACAGAATCTTTGAAAAATCTAAAATAACAGAACAAAAGAAGAGTTATCCAGATTCACCACCCAGAGAAAGCCAGTTATTTTTGTGTGGATGTATTTTCCAGTCTCTTCTCTGCAGGATATTTTCACCTGGTCCACCAGCTGTACATGCACAAAGGTTAACACTTTCTGCAGTGAGAATTCATGGAGTTTCCATGAATTACAAAATACTTGGAACCATCATTCCTCATTATTGACTTATGCTTCATAACATAGACATTCACACTGCTTCTTTCCAGAATATAAACTGCAGCCTGTGAACACTAGTGCTTACCTAAACAAATGGCACATACAATGGAATCTAGACCTAGCTATGAACCATACACTTATACTTTATCTATATTCTTCACCTGGACAAGTTCTCCTAAAAGTGTTATTAAGAGTGGTTGTCACTGTGAATATATCCTGGAGGTGTATTTGCTTCAGTTCTGTTCAGTTTGGATTCAACCCTCGCTTGTGAGTCAGTATCTTGGTTTAATCTCTATTTAAGCGTAAATAAGCACTGTGCATGTATGTGTGATAAATTAATGCATTCTTTTTTATAAGATTTAAAAGTTTAATTGAAAATTTCTCTTAAATTTATTTTCTACATTCCATAAATGAGTAAATTTCAATTTAAAATTAAAACTTCATCCAGAATGTTTGGTATCAAATTTTCTTAGAGTAGATTATCTGCAAGGAAATCTTACACTGATATTTTCCAAATCTTGATCTATTGATATGAAAGTTTGACTTAGTCTACATGAGTAAATTAAATTTTTATGTTCTGTTGAGATGTGTACTTTGTGTTTTTCAAAAGCCTCTTCGGTAAGATTAATTCAGTAGTCAGTTTGTGGAAAGTAAAATAGTACAATTTTTAAAATCTAACCATTTTTAATTTTGTTTAATGACAGAGAAATAGATCTGTTATCAGGAAAGGACTTCTGCCATTTAAAGAAAATAAAAGAAATGAATACCAAGGAAATAGACTTGAGAACTCGTGATGCAGGTATTGACAGTGCCAGCACTGCTCCCCGAAGCATGGAGGAGGGTCTCTCTGAGGATGTGTTCATGGAGTCAGAGCTCTCTGCCATCCGAGAGGAGCATGTCTCTTCCGATAAATCATCTGGGACATCCTCAGACTCTGTACAAACTGTCTGTCAGACTGAGGTAGGAGGATTGACAGCCCAGCCAGAGTCTAGTAATCCTCCTGCTCACTTAAAAGCCAACACTGGACATTCTGCCAAGGGAGTTGGGGCTGTGTCTAATGAAAGAGATTTAAGTCATCTTGAAATGGCCTCTCAGGATGGAGAGCGGGTAATGGATAAGCTTCAGGAAGCATCAGGCCCTACGGAAGCAAGCCCAATCGTCAAAGGTCACACAGACCAGGGTCCTTTGCCTCATGAGCATTCGCTACAGCAAGACAGAGGTGGAAGAGAAAACTTGTCTTGTGGAGAAGCAACAGAATTTGAACAAAAGCAAACTATTGACAAAGGCCAGGAAGGAAAGGAGCAAAGTTGGAACTCAGAGACAGAGGTCGAAGAGCTGCGCAAACTCTGGAAAACTCACACTATGCAGCAGACTAAACAGCACAGGGAAAATATTCAGCAGGTCTCACAAAAAGAGATGAAGCATAAGACTGCATCTACTGATGGACATGTAGAAGGTAAGGGTTAAGGAGTGTATGGAGAGAGTTCTTCTTACGTAGTGTGTTCTCTCTTTCTCCACCAACTCTCAGGCAGTCTGAAGGACCCCCTGACGGAGGTGCTCTGGAACAGTGTCTGGTCTTGGTGTCCGGGTCTTTCTCATCCCCCAGAGCTGTGGCCGTCACACGTACCTCTTCTGCACACATGCTCAACTCCTCACATTCTCTCTAAATCGTGCCCTGAAAGTGCACACAGGCTGTATATCTTTTAGGACTCCATTTTCCATTTTAGTTTTTGGTTTGTCTTTTATCATTGCACGTCATGTTCTAATTGCAGTTTATAACTGCCAAGGTTGTATTCCACCTTTTTATATTTGAAGTGTGGTTAGACAGAAAAGACTGTCTCTAGAATTTTTCCAAGTATCCAGAAGTTCTGTCTTCATCTGATGTTTTCCTTTAAAAACAAACATTCAGGGTCAATAAAAATATAATCTTTTCTTTCAGTTCTGTTTGTGGGTTCTATTGATTATGAAAATTAGAGTGGTAGGCTATCTCTTATTTCTCACATACTGTGCTTCTTCCTTAATATGTTATGGGTTAAGTAGGCCATAGCTCAAGTAGCTTAGGAAACATTTCTTACGTTAATTCTATTAGAAGATCACCCCAGATTAATCCAATTTGCATATGAATTTTTCTTTTCAAAAAATTTTATTGTGGTAAAATATACATGGAATAAGACAGCATTTTGACTTTTTAAATTGTAAAATATAAGTTTTACCCTTTAAACAATTTTTGAGCACTTCAATGGCACTAAGTGAATTCATTTTTGTTGTGCAACCATCACCTACATCTGTCTCTGGAGCTTTTTTGTCTTCCCAAACTGAAACTGTACTTGATAGACAGTAAATTGTGGTGGTTCTCCCTGTCCCACGCCCTTGGCCCCCACAGTTCTGCTTTTTGTCTCTGTCTTTAGTCTGGCTACTTTATGTAAGTGGAGTCACATAGTATTTGTTTGTTTTGCCTGACTCCTTTCACCTAGCACTGTCCTTCAAGGCTCTTCCATGGTACAGTACATGTTAGGGTTTCCTGCATTTTTAAGGCCAACTAACCAGCACCCGTGGTATATGCACACCATGTTTTGTCAGTCGGTTCATTCACCGATGGACATGTGTGTGGTGTCTGGATTTTGGCTGTTGTGAAAAATACTGTTGTGAATACTGGTGTGTAAGCATTGGAGTCCCATCTTGCAATTTTTGGGGGTCCCATTCCCAGAAGTGGAATTGCTGGATTATATGGTAAATCTGTGTTTGTATTTTTGAAGAATCATCTGTTTTCTACAGTGGCTGCACCATTTTACATCTCCACCAGCAACACATGAAATTCTGTTCAGTTTTTATAATACTGAATTTTCTTTTCATCATCCAGTTGAGATACCTTGAAGACCTAAGGATGCTGTGTATTAACTATTAATGCATACATTTACTTGAAGCAAGTTCTGTAAAAGATTTCACGGTTACGTAGGTTTTTTTCCTTATTTAGAACTAATGAATACTGTATGTATTAGTGAACATTTGACAAATATATGATGTTTCTACACAATTTATAAAAAACCTAGAGTTGGGCCGGGCATTTAGCTCAGTGGCACTGCACCTGCCTCGCAAGTGCGAAGTCCTGAGTTTGATTCCCGGTACAAAAAACAAACAAACAAACCTGGATTTATCACTTGTATGAGCATTGTTAATACCTAGTACACTAATTCTTGGAAGTGTTTGTATTCATGTGGATGCCTGCCTGCATGCACACATGTGTATATATAATTTTGATATTTGTATATATCTGCACATATAGATTTTTTAATATGAAATCAGGATTATATTTAGTGTTTATCCTTTTTTCAACTTAACATTTATGTTATGAACATTTTTGTATGTCATAGTTCTTTGAAAACATGGTTTTAATAACCCTATAATTTATTCAACCATTTCCATATTGTTAATACATTCAGCTGTTATTAACAATTCAGATTAAGACTTACTATCTTTAATGTAAACAGTGCTGATATAAATATCTTTATTTGTATGGTCATAAATGATTTATTATTATTTGTATATATCTGATAGTTACTTGATATTTTGAAATCTTGAAAAAAAGTGATAGACTAATGTTAATAAGTTATGAGTGTAAAGAAAATTAATAGAGGCAGTCCTATCATAGCCAATACCAAAAGGAGAAAAATTGGTAGATGTTTTTAGGTATGTCTAAATAATTGCTATTTGGGTTCTTTTTTAACAGAATAAAAGTTAATTTTAAGTAACTTGATACTGTATAATAGGGAAATATTAAAAGTTTCTGATCTTTATGATTTTATAGCAATACATAATTTATGTATTAAATACAGAGTTGTAGAATACTTCTTTGGGAAGAATGTTATGAATTCCTCATTTTAGCCAGTGTAAATTTTGGGTCTCAAATAGATTATGTATTTTGCCCAACTTTATACTGAAAAAAAAAAAAAAAAAAAAGCCAGTACCCATATCTCTGTAAGTGTATTTTCCGTCAAGGTATATTGCCTTAGGATGAATTAATATCCACCTTCCTAAACTCAACTGTATTATCAGACCCTCAGTATACCTTATATCAGCATCTCTCATTGGAAGAGTTAGAGATAATTCAGGCTTAATTAACTGTCCAAACAAGTTGGCTGCACCTAGCATATTGTTCATTGATTTGTCATACCTTTATATGCATATAAAAGTCTCGAAAATGTTTTTCTTGTCTGTAGTAACCATGTTAAAGGAAGCCTTTAAAAAGTTTTGAAACTTATTTAGATATTCTAAAGACTGATGGAGAATATGCAGAAAATTCTATATGAATATCTAATTAGCATAGTTGTTATAAACAAAAATTTAAGGGCTGGGGATGTGGCTCAGTGACTCAGTGCCTGCCTGGCAAGCATGAAGCCCGGAGTTCAATTCCTGGTATTAAAAAAAAAAAAAAAAAATTAAAGGGTTCCTGAAGCTTTTGCATTTTTTTCGTAATATTCCTAGACACAGTCTCAGTCCATTAACTTGTCTTTCATTTAGTCTTGCTATATCTGTGACTTTACCTTTGATGGCAAATAATACAAGTTGCTGCAGTGAATTCACCTGGGTAGCAGTAAAATGAGTTTTATTTGTGGTTGGGAGTTAGAAGGTAGAACTACGAATGAATTTCACTGTGATGCATGAAAATTGAGTGAGGACTGTCTGCATCTCACATCTAGGTTCTGCAGCTCCAGAGGAAAAGAGGAGGCATCGATTGCATAAATTCTTATGTCTCAGGGTTGGAAAACCAATGAGGAAGACATTCGTGTCTCAAGCAAGTGCTACCATGCAGCAGTATGCGCAGAGAGACAAGAAACATGAGTACTGGTTCGCCGTGCCTCAGGAAAGGTAAAAAATGAAGGAGAAATGAAAACATTTTAAGGTTCCCCAAGTTAGAATTACTGTGTATATCACAATATGAGTGGCAAAGTGCAGTACTTTGAGGCATATAGTTTCTAATTAAAAGTAGACATTTAATCTATTTTAAATCATTTAGCTTGTATTTGATCCTCTTTAATTTGCTCCATTTGTAATTGCATCTTTGTAATATATTGAAAAAAAAGTGTGAACATGTACCAGATTTTAGTAAAGTGAAAAAGAGTACTTAAGACCCTCGAAATGTTGACTGGTATGGCACTTTTCTGAAGGCAGTGAATGATGTATAATCCCTTTATTTAAATTCCTTCAAATATGTCGATTGTCTACTACATACATGACCCCAAATTAGTCACTAAAAGCTTGTGGTGGTCCTCAAGCTGTTTTTGTATACTCTCTGCACAGTAAAATCTTTTGTTTTAAGTTTTAGCAGTTGTAAAAGGTTCCTGTTGTATTATAAATATTTACATTTTCATTTTAAACTGTTGATCTTTTAAATGCTGCATACCCAGTAGAATCTAAACATCATAACAATTATCCCTTTACCATTATCTGCTTAAAAACAACTTGAAAGTACTTTTCAACAGTTAAAAACAGCATCATTACTTTTTAGCTCTGAACTTGTATTTTCCTTTTTACCTTCCCACAGAGTATAATTATAAGGTATTTTTATCCCTTAAAATCATTCTTCACAACAAACTACCTACACTTATGCGTTTATTATCTGTGTGTATGTCCACTGAAATTGCATTTATTTTACAACTTCCTGTGACTGCTGTCAGAGTAGTAAAGCTCCTGAGTTAGCCTGCCTCAGCTTGATGTGTGCTGGCAAGAAATACAGTCATCCATTGATGAATGTTGTCTGTGGAAAGGGTGAGACAGGGTTCAGCATCTCATCTATCCCTTCCTTTGTTGTTTTTCTGCAAGTACTGAGAAGCTTTGTTAATGAGTCAGTTACACAAGAAGAATTTTATTATAATGTTACTCAGTTCTTTAAATGTTTTTGTGTATGTTCCAAAAAATTACCTTTCTTTTACCAAATTAATTTTACTGATCATCAGTAAACACAACTCCATTGAAAACTTAAGTTTTGGGGAAGAACGTACCACCCAGTCTTATAGTTATTTCCTGCTTCAACAGCAGTCTTGGGCACCTTGAAAGTTTTTATATTTTAAGGCATGTACCATTGTAAAAATCTGAATGGATGAGCATATATTCTTCTACAACTTAGGAAAAACATTTGAGTGAAAGCAGAGAACAAGGAGTCTGCATGATATCTTGACGCAAGAGATTAGTATAAGCAGAGAGTAGCATAGAAATTGAGGATGTAGAAATTAATGCCCTTAGCTCTGAAGTATCCATGTACCTCTTGGAAAGCTTTTCGATGTTGCTTTGAATACTACTACTTTTGAGTATAAAATGATAAAAGGCTCCCTCTTCTCCTACCCCACCAAATTATACAGAACAGTGTGTGTACCTGCTACAAAACGTCATAATAGTAAAAAGTATATGTTATGATTTACATAATTAATGAATACTTGAAAGCGATTGAACCAGATAATCAAATTTGCCAGTTGTCTTTAAATGACAAAAATTAAAAATTCTAACTATATTTAGTTTTCTTACTATTCTTGGTTATATTTTAACTTTTACATAGTTTTTGTTTTAATATTGTCCTTGAACCTTGCTAATATTCATTAAAAATTAATATTACTAGGATTCTGAACTTCATTGTAGTCATGTACCTTATGAAAATTTCTCTGATAGTGATAAAGTATCTGAAAAATGAAAAGTTAATGCTCTTTGACTATGTCAGCTATCACATAAGCTAAGGATGTGTACTTCTCAGAACCATTTTTATTGATTGTCATATGTTAGCTGAGAATTTTCTAATCAATTTTGAATTATTTGTGCTAAAGTCAATAGATATTTAAGATGTGTGTTTGGCCTTAAATATTTTTACCAGGGAATGCAACCTCCAGCTTTACTGTAGTTAGCAAAACACTAGGAAGGGAAACAAAAATTTAAAAGATCAGGTCACCTATCATGAACCAATAATTCAATATGTATACCTGATACCATGTAAATTAAGGAAATTAAACTTCTGTTAACTTGAGAAACTTTAATACAATGTTCAGGTTTTAAAATGGGTAACTAGTGATTGTTTGCATATGTTTTAATCATTAGATCATTGTGTGACTGAGGTGACAGTTGTAGATTCCATCACTAGTATCTTTAAGAAGGAAAAACATTTCTGTATCTATCATCAGACCCAGTCCAAAGCAGCCAAGAAAAATCTTAATATAGTTTTTTCAGAACAACCTGAGATCACAGCTAAATAAGGTCTTTCACATAATAGGCTATATCTTTTTATTTAAAGCAATATATTTTGTATATATTTAAGTCTTCATGTTTTATCAAGGTATTTCACAAATACAATTTTATAATTGTAACCAGTACAGAATAGTGGTTCTGACAGATTCTTGTACTAACAGGACAGACCACTTGTATGCCTTCTTCATTCAGTGGAGCCCAGAAATCTATGCAGAAGACATTGGCGAGTACACCAGAGAACCTGGGTTCATAGTAGTAAAAAAGACCGAGGAGTCTGAAACAAATGAGGATCCTACTAGTCAAGCAGCAGCCAGAGACTGGGAGGTAAGGAGAAGATAGGAAGGTTTCATCCATCTTCTTTGTATGAATTTATAGCTTTATGGTAATAAAAATATAAGTGATCTTTGTACCAAAGAGTGTTATTTTAAAAGTTCAGGTTCATTCTCAGTGCATTTGTGTGTATCCCATGAATCTGAGTAGTGACTGTCATACTGTTTGTCACTTTGCTTTTGCTTTATAATACTAGAAACCTGTTGGCAACAAAATGACTTTTTTTTTTTTTTTTGGTACCGGGGATCGAACTCGGGTCCTTGCACTTGCACAGCAGGCGGTGAAACCACTGAGCTAAATCCCCGGCCCAACAAAATGACTTTTGATGAGTGTATTTTATAATATTTGGTGTAGAAAAGAGTAATAATATGGCAAAGAAAGAAATGATATTAATTGCTGTTACATTTTCATAAAACATTACTTGAGGTTTGCTTCACTTTGATTTTATCTCCTGCATGGAGCAGGCTCAGCATTCACTTAACCCATGCAGGCAAGGTGCTAGTCCTTTCTGACTTTGGGGCTTATGCCTTGTCTCGATTTGAATAGCAGTAATAACGTTAGGGAAATAAGCTGGTGCTAATTTTATGAAGTAACAAAAGTTTTGGTTTTTTTTTTTTTTTTTTGGTACTGGGGATCGAACTTGGGACCTTGGACTTGTGAGTCAGGCGATGGAACCACTGAGCTAAATCCCTGGCCCTAAGTAACAAAAATTTTATGTGCTCAAATTCAATGAATTTTTGTAAGTGACCCAATTAATACTGATAAGCTTTTGGTTAACTCCTTTTAAGATTGCATTCTCTCATTTTAAGATTGCATTCTCTCATTTTACTTGCTTTTCACTGTAGGGTTGATGGAGTCACACTATATATTTTTGTTCTTGCTGGAATTCATCTCTGATTTATTAGAAAATATAGAGCAGATGCTAAAATGTAACAATAAGTGGAATCAGATTTTGTTGTTTGGTCAATGTTTGTGGTGGTTTATGTGATACGAATTTACTATGCATGCACTTAACATGTATAATGATCCAAGATATACATGGTATGTCTTTTGTTTAAAATGTGAACCTGTTTTGGAATGTCTCTGATTTCATTCTGTGTAGTACATAAAGCATCTATTTCTACGGCAATTCCAATGTAGTGGAGGGAAAGAAGTAAAAATATATTGAGAATTTATTTTGAGCTCTCTTAATACTTAAACCTAACATTAATCTTCTTACCAGCATTATTTATAATAGCCCAAAACTGGGAAGAATGTGAATGCCCATCACTAGGTGAATAAAGGGATGTATTTTGGGATATTCATAAAATCCTAAATAACATATCCCAAATCACGTAGCAGTAAGAAGGAAGGGTCTACTGGTACAGGCAACAGCATGGCTGCATCTTACAGACACAGAGTGTGTGCTGTGTGACTCATGTGTGAGTCAGGGGAAGGGTAGCTGGAAGCCCAGCAGACCACTGGCTACTGGGCCCTGGAGGAGTGGAAGGAGCCCCGGAGATGCACAGCTCCTTCTGGGTGGTGGTCACACAGGTGATGGCACGTCTGAAAGAAAAAGAAAATTCCTGAGCTGCGTTTTTATTAGCTCTCGGAGTAGTGAAGATTACCAAAGATGTGTGCCTATACTAAGAAGACAACAGTCGAGGTAGAGCAGAACAAGATGAATTCGTACTGGCCTGCTGCTTAGGGTTAGTGGCAACCAGGTTAGGGTGGAGTTTCTAACTCAGGAGGTCAGCTGGGAGATTACAGTGTTTTCAGTTAAGAAAGGGAAGTAAGAGCTTTTCATCAGTTAAGGTTGGAGCATTGAACTTTGGAAATAGTAGACTGCTCTTTTATAGACTTAAAAGAACTGCGTAAGTTTCTGTGGAAGATTTTGCAGATTGTATTTTCCAGCTTAGAAAACACAGATGTCTCCTCACCTGTCCTTGGACCAAATTGGTTCAAATGAAAGTCAAAGAGAAAGAAAATATAATTTTGTAAACTTTTTGCTACTTTATCTAGAAACAACTATGTGGCCATCAAGTAGTTGAACTGTGGTTAATGCAGCTAAAGAACAGGGTTATTTAGATTTCAAAACTGAAATTAATTAATTTAGAATTTGTACATGTGATCTTTTTCAAGTACAAATTTTATGAAATCTAAATATCTAAATCGAAGGTGAGGTAGTACTTCCTATGAAAATTTAGTGTCTAAGATATGTTGTAGTGTAAAATATTCTTTTTCTGATAGATACAGGCACCACTAGCCACATGTAGCTATTGAACATTTAAAATGTGGTCAGAATGAATTGAGATGTGCTGTAATGTAAAATAACACACTAAATTTTAGTAACTTTTAATTGAAAGAGAAAATCTTATTTCTACGCTGATTAATATTTAAACGATAATATTTTAGATATATTAGGTTAAATAAAATATTAAAATTCATTCACTTTTTTCTTTGTTAATGTGGCTGCTAGAAAAATTTATAGTGGCGTGTACTCTGCTCTGTATCTTTCTAACATAGTGTGTGTTTAGTGCCTGATAGATAGTAACAAAAACAATTTGTTAAACTAATGAATACTTATTTAAGTGAGAGAGTAATTTTAAATGTTAAAATGATCTTTCAGAAAAGAATCTGGCTAGAGCACTTGTATAAATCAATAGTATTTGAAAGTGACAAATGATTAAAATTTTTTCTCCCTAGGTATGGAGAATAGGTGCTTTAGAATTTAGGATATATTTATTATGGCTACCAATTTGGGCATGGATCTGTTTGATTAGAATAACTGCTGTATTTACTTTTATTTTTTCCTGATGCTTAGAAGATGTTTATTATCAGGCGGAAATGTTACATGAACTGGAGAAACTCGAATGTGGTAAACTTTCCATTTTCCATTCCCTTCTTCTCCCACTATCTGAATCAAGGCCAGTAGGCAGGGATTTGCCAGTCTACTCCATCCTCAGAGCTAAAAAATGTTTACTGCTGAGTCACTCATCCTCAGAAATATTTATTGGATTGGTGAATAAATTTGGACATAGGTTAAAGTAGAGCGTAAAGCTTTTTATCTTTCAAAATTGGTCTTTATCCTAAAATAAGTTCTTGTAACATATATGCTAAATAGTTAATTATAAACTCATAGACTCTGGAAATTAGAATTAACTGCCAGTTCAGCCTCTTTGTCATTTTACATTTTGCAGTATTCTTTGTTCCGTTTTAACATACAAGTGATAGGGAATTTATACGTCAAAGGGCAGTACTTTTCATTTTAGGGAAGCCCTGTTAGAAAGTTCTTGTTATGGTAAGTGTAAAGAAATGTGTCTGTAAATTTGTTTTATTTGTCTGTTCTCCAGCTTAGTGCACATTAGCAACAATAGCAGAACTTTTCTGTGTCCTATGATAACGTGATAATATTTACCTTCCTTTTTCGCTTTGTTCCCGGATCGTTTTTCCCAGTACTTCAACTGTTCATGGATTCTTTGCAGACCCTGTATTATCCTTATCATTACCCTTAGCTGTGTCAGAGCATTTATAAACTCTGAGAGGCACCCCAGATTACTAAAATGTGCCCTTGGGATAGCAAAAAATTCTATAATACTTAAAAAAATTTAATTCCACAATATGAGAATTGAAAGCCAGTCCTTAATTATGTTGTTGAATGTAATTAGAAAGGGCAGGAACTTAAGAATTAGAAATATGAGAACAGCATGAAGAAAGAACAGAGATTTGTAAAGTGAGGGTGGACCGTCAGAAACCTGTGTTTACCAAAAAAATTTAGGCAGGTTTTGAGTGGTGAGGAGTGAGAGCTTCTAGGGGCATTTCAGAGTACTTCCTGAGCAGTGGGATAAGGGTCTGGGAAACACTGTCCATGGGGAGGAGTCCATTTTGCTCTCCGGCCATGTGCAGTATCTTCTGAACATACTGTGTGGTGAGTCCTTGGTGTGTGAGGGAGCCTTACTGAACATTGCATGAGCCTGCTGCTGTTGCTGAGAGAGGAGTTTTTTAAACAATCAAAGCAAAGAATGACTCAAGAAACCTTTCTCCATAGTGAACAAAATGTGTGGTTTTGGTGCAGCACCTGTAACCAGTGTAATATGAATTATGAGCTGTGCTATTATTGGGGCCTTAACAACATCCCCTTGCAACTGCGAAGGAACCGTTTATTTTAGAATCTGTCCTCCTAGTCTTTCAGTCTGCAGCCTTAGGAGTCAGTACATGGAGTGTGGGTAGTGAGGACACTGCTTTCTGTGGGCTTTGCATTCTGCAATCGCGTATGCTTCCTATTTCTCGGTCTTTTCACTGCAAGGTGAGGTAGGTCCTAAGGTAAAGGTAAGATGCCTCCTACCACCCACTGTTTCTTGATGATAGCTTTGTTTGATAAGAGGACAAAAGTGAGAGATTACTAATGTGATGGAATCACATGTACCAGTTACTTGGCCTTATTTTAGTGTACTTCATCTATGTCCCTCTTCAGTTAACCTTTTTTCAAGTGTGTTAAAAAAATTTTAAACATATATAATATGTATCTACTTTGACAGTTTGTTTTTTGAGTCAGGATCTAACTAAGTACCAAATATTGGGGTTAAAATGTGTCTTGAGTCTCTCTGAATGTGAGTTTGCCATCTACTTTTTTTTCTTTTCTTTATTTAATATTAATTTTTAAGAAATCAAACTTTTCCTGTAGAAAGTCCCACAGTTAGGATTCTCCTGATTGCATCCCAATGGTGTCTATTAAGATGGATTTCCTGTAAACTGACCTATAGACCTAGGGCTCCAGTTTAAAGAATAGGTCGCTATCTTCATTCTATAGATAACATCTCCAAGCTTATTTCTTGCTTAGCTAAAGTTCTAAAATAAGTTCTAATAAGTCATAGTGGTATGTCTCTTAATTTAGAAGCAATGTTCTTTAGTCCACACCAAGTTCTTAACTTTGGCAGAGTCTTTGAATCATCTACAGGAGCTTTCAAGTGTCTTTTTGTTCGAGCCATACTCAGAACTATTAAGTCACATTCTTG